TGCCCCGCGCCAGGGCGAGCTTTGAGGAGGTGCGCGGGTCCCTCGGAGGAGCGCTGCAGGACAGGCTACCCGAGCTTACGCTGCAAGAGTGCCCTAGCAGGTTCTCGACTTGCACTCGCTTCTGTAAAGATACAGCTCTTCCTGGGAAAATACGTACGTGACATAAGATGACATTGCTGAGAAAAGACAACATCTTTCTTAACTGGTAATTTCAGGTAGTGACCATTTCCCCAAGAAGCATAGAATGTCAAACAACAGGAGGCTGAGAGAGGATCCCCCAGCATCCCATGCAGCGTATTGCAGTGGAACACTTCGCAGCATCACGATGCTTTTTAATAATAGAATTTCAAATAGTGAGCCAACAGCTGCTACTTTTACAAGTTCATCCTAAGAGAAAGTCCTTGCACCATATTGCACTTACTTTGCTGAAAGCTACCCTCACGTGGCAATGAATAGTGTCTACTGCAGAACCCTCAAGAGATTTAGAGAATGTTATGCCCATTCTCCCCTCATGGCACCTTTTTAATAGTCTTACAGTTCCATAGCACAACTGAATTCAAGCTTGCTTTTTTCTTTCACTTTCCCTCATGCTGTGTTCTCCCTTCCAGTAGCTTTCCAGTTTTTCACACTGGAAAACAATTAGCAATGTTATCTTCTTAAGTGTCTTTTTCTTTCTTTCTGATTCACTGTTTTTTAAAAATAATCCTGTCCAGCCTCTCTGGAGCAAGCAGGTTTTGGCTTTTGTCTCCTTTATGCTTGAAACACAGCTAAACCAAATGCTTTTCCCTCTTGGTGACAGCACTGCAAGCTCCATATACACAGTGCTGCTGTGCTCAAGCTGAAGGAGCAGAGTGATGTTGCCCAGCTGCAGCTGCAAGTCAGTGGAAGGACAAAGCTTTGTGTTATGTTGTTTCACAAAAGTGACAATTACTGTGTTTTGTTATCTGCCTTTTCACTGAGATGGAAGAAACCATCTCCTCAGCTGGACTGGGGGTGTTCATTTCAAACACATCCAAACTACCAGAGGCACTTAGAAGCCTGAACTGACAGGACGGGGCTCCTAGTGTGCTGTGGCAGTCCAAAGGCTGAGCCCATGCCTGCAAGCAGGGAGGTTCAAATGCTATGACCAGGATGGCAGGGGACCCTCACACTCCCTTCTGTGACACTTCTGTGAGGAAAGCTGTGATCCCAAGCTCTTCAGCCATGTGCTTGCCTGCTTTCTTTGCTTGCTGTAGCTATGCCAGATGAAGTGCCAGCCAATGCAGGACAGATTAAAAAACCACCACCTCAGGCTGCCAAGGGTATGGTAAGCAGCAGGTGTTTTGTGAACCTCGTTCAGGTTGCGCAGTTGCTACAGACCTAGGCCTCCACCCAGAAAAGAAGCAGAGCATTGTGCCTGGTCTTGCAGGATGCTGAAGCTATCTGCCAGGACACACACCATTGCCTGGTAGGCTTATAAATATGTCTGGCATGTGGTGGGTCTGAGACCACTGGCTATATATATTTCCCCTCAAACAACATGCCTTGACACTCCTTTTTGATCTAGTCTTGTTCACATTAAAGGGAATTTTTCCTTGCATTTGACAGCATCCACCACCTGTTTGTCAGTCATTTCTGTGATCCAAGACATTGTACACTGTAATAATCCTTTTACCTCCTAGTTCTGATATGGGGTCCCATGGTGATTTACAGAAAAATGCCCTGTCATAATTGGTCCAAACACACTTAACTTCAGCATATCCCTAAGAACAATACAAGCCTCTCTTTCTGGTAAGCCTCTAAAGAGAACCCTTCTTACAACTGAGCAGCAGCAGCAATTCTGAAATGGCAGATGGTCTCTACAGCATCATATATCCCATGACACTGGAGCTAGACCTGTGATACATAGAGGGGAAGAGGTCCCAAAAGACGGTTATTTAGTCCTAAAACAGCTAGGTGCTGTCGTGGTTTAACCCCAGCTGGCAACTAAGCCCCACGCAGCCGCTCACTCACTCCCTCCAAGTGGGATGGGGGAGAGAATTGGAAGGGGAAAAGTGAGAAAACTCATGGGTTGAGATAAAAACAGTTTAACAGGTACAGGAAAAGCTGCACAAACAAGCAAAGCAACCCAAGGAATTCATTCAGTGCTTCCCATCGGCAGGCAGGTGTTCAGCCATCTCCAGGAAAGCAGGGCTCCATCACTGAAGACAAATGTCATCACTCCGAATGTCCCCCCCTTCCTCCTTCTTCCCCCAGCTTTATATGCTGAGCATGATATCATATGGTGCGGAATATCCCTTTGGCCAGTTGAGGTCAGCTGTCCCGGCTGTGTCCCCTCCAACTTCTTGTGCACCCCCAGCCCACTCGCTGGTGGGGTGGGGCGAGGAGCAGAAAAGGCCTTGACTCTGTGCAAGCACTGCTCAGCAGTAACGAAAACATCCCTGTGTTACCAACACTGTTTCCAGCACAAATCCAAAACATAGCCCCCTACTAGCTACTCTGAAGAAAATTAACTATCCCAGCCAAAATCAGCACAGGTGCTTTTCCTACAGTAACAGCATCTCGACTCCAGACCCAGGCTCTGAGTAGCCTCCTGCATACTGCCTGACTACAGTGTGGTTGAGGGTTAGGAAGGAGGGCAGCGTATTCCTCATTGGTTTTGCAGTCTGTCTGTTCTTCTCATGGGCACTCACTTCCCCTCCACGACCCCTCCCCGCCCCACTCCACTCCATTCCCCACTGCAATTCAGGCCAAGTTTTGATGACTAAATGAGCTTACTTACAAGGTTGCAAAGTCACTAGTAAATTCAGAAGCACCACTACATTGAAGAGCTGAAAGAAAGAATTCCACTATAATAGGAATTCATTGTTACCAAACACTGGCAAGTGCTTCCTGAATTTTCTGACAGTGCAGTCCTGAGCTGTGGGATTTCAAGAAAGCCTAAGTTGCCAATGACACCTCTTTGATGCTCTCTAGCCAGTTGTTACTAAAGTATTGACTGGTCTGTTTATCTTCCAGCTGGCAGGATTGGCTGTCATTGCCTTTGGTCTATGGATGCGATTTGGTGGGATTATGGCAGACTTTGCTTCAGACAAAAAGTCTCCAGAGTATTTCTTCATGGGTAAGTTAAAGTGCCTGTGACAACAGTAGCCTTTAGCCTTGGTTTCATCCTGGGGCATGTGACACACCTTATGCATTGAATTATATGAAAGCCAACAATTCCTGGGCTGAACTACACAAAACTGTAGTGCTGTGTGTCATGTGCCTGATGGCTTTCATCCTTTCTCTGCTTGGCATCAACTTCCTTAGGCCTAACTGAACTCTTCTCTCAGATTTGATCCAATCCTCACATACCCTAAGTGAATTGTGCTAATACTGTCGGAATAGAAGTTGGGTCAGAGACTCCTGAAACATGGGGCTCACCAATACATCCTTCCAGAGTTTTCCATGCAGCTGCTAGCCAACAAAACAACAGCGTCACTTCTAAATGTTTCTAGTATCAGTGCAGCAGTAAAACTTTTGCTCACCAGTTCTCCCTGTGTCTGTACACAGAGGCTGTCAGTGTGACTTTAAGTATCAGGGCAAATCCTTCCACAGCTGAAAAGTAAAACTACACAGTGTTCAGTCATCTCAAGAACCATTTGTCCAACCTAGGCAGGAATCAACTAGTTCTCCAATGAACGGTATTGGTCGTATCTATTTTAGGCATTCAAGATAAAGTTTTTTCTCCCTAGGATTTCCAGTTCGGTTTTCTGGAAACACCACCTGTGTTACGTATCTGTAGACATCCTTAAATAGCAGCTCTCTAGGACTGCCAGCAACTGCATTTCTCTATCCACTGGCAATTGTAACGTGCCTTTACACCAGAAGAGTCAGATTTTTTTTCTGTTTTAATATATCACCCCTGGAGATGGACTCACTCAATAAAATCCAATTGGTGCAAACATTTTTACCATCTACAAATGCCAAGTATGAATGAATACCCAGTCCTGCCTTGTCCATCAAGCGACTCTGAGAGGGTGGCCAGGAATGGAAGTTGACCCAAGATGTCCTGTAGCAGTTCGTTACCCATCACAGGAATATTGCCTGGGCTGTGCAGTTACTTTAAATACCCTGATTCTCTTAGTGGAGACCTTGACTCTGATACACCAATCTTCTTTATTATATGCAACCAACTAGAGGTACAGAGCTGACTGTGGGAGTTTATGAGGCTGAATAAAACATTCAGATGAAAATTTGATTGGGATCTGAGGGTTACTGTAAAATACCCTATAGCACCTCCACTGACAGAGAGCCAGGAAGTACGATTTACTTTTTCTCTTAGATCTGAGCTGCTATGTCAGCAGCATATTAGATCACCAACTTCATTTTCAGATCCAGTTTATACCTGCTGAATTTCCTATGCTGTATCTTGGAACTCTTCCCTGCCTTATCCACTTATGTTTGACCCAGGAGATTCAACAAGACAGAAGGATGTTCTGGCCTTCAAAATCAACTACTGTTGGTTTGTTAGAAGCCAGAAAGTAATACATTCTGTGATGTTAATAAGCACCAGAGTCATTTCACAGCTTTGCAGTGCAGACTGTAACACTGTGTAAACAAGATATTCTTTGGTGTATGTGTATTTAAATCTCTAAAAGATTTAATCTGCTTCAGTCCTGAATAGGAATTACAAAAGCTGTTTAGAGTTGCTAGTTTTGGGAAGTGCTGGGGAATGTTTTTGTAAAAGTTTCATCATATACCGTGACATTCAACTGTTGGGCTGTCACATGTATTTATAGAGCTGTATGCTGTAATATGTAACTGCTAGCAGAGGAAGTGCTAAGGAACAGGACATAAAGATGTTGAGAATTCTTTTAAACTTGCAATTTTGACTGAATTCTAAAGCAAAGTTTTGGCCCTTTTTTGTAATAGGCATTGTGCTCTGAATGGAGCATTCCTGTTAAAGAAAGACAACAAATTTTCTGCTGCCCTCCCTCATTACAAATCATGTTAAATGCTGTTGTGACTTCTGAGCATCTGATGGGGCAGCCATTCAGAAGTCTGAGGCTGTTAACAATGTGTGACTAACGCAGAGGTAAAAGAATGGTGGTAAGTTCAGTAAGGTTGTTTTTTTTTTGCAGCAGACAAGGCTGCACTTGACGGTCATGCTCAAGAGCTTTACCTCTCACGGAGATTTCAGCTCTGAGTCCCCCTCGACAGTTGTGTATTGGGCCCTTCTCACAGAGACTCTAGGAGTGTTGTTTATTTGGCTTTGTGTGTTTGCTCTGTAATATGCATTCTGGGTGACAGCCAGAACTTTGCATAGGAATTCTTAATGTAGAACACTGTGCGGCACACAACGAGCAGCAGCCCAAAGGGCTGAAAGAGAAAGCAGATCATCAGTATGACTTGGAGATACAAACATATGGACATATATTTAAAAATAATTTCTTTAGCTCTGTTCCACTGACCGCTTTTGTGGCTGCCTTGTGGTAACTCAAGCCCCTGTGATCAGATCAGCTTTGTGTCAGTCCTTGGAACAACAGTGCAGCTGCATTCAGAGTTTGCTTTGTAGGTTGAAGCACTGTCCAGAATTACCATCTTGTGGAAAACATCTCATTTTCTTCCTTCTAAAGAGCAGCACATTCTGCTCTTTTTGTACCTGGATTGAGCTGCCAGCTGAATCTTACCAGCTTCTCTCTTGTGCTTCCTTGTGATGTTTTTTTTCCTGGATCTGAAATGTTGTCTTAGTTTAAAATAATTGATAATTATATCCTTGCATTTTCCATTAGGCCAGAATGAGTCTCCTTAAATAGCCCTGTTCTTTACCAGCAATCCAGCTGTCTTTTCTGCCCCCTGGAATAGTTCAGGCCATGACTTGGCAACCAGGCCTGTTCATCTTTTCCAGCCACTGAAATGTTTTTGTTGGTTTGAGAACAACTTTCAGGCAGCAGTGCTGAGGTCAAGCACATATGTGTTCTTAGTTTTCTGTTGCTTGTGGTTTTGTGTTCAGTGATCCATATTCCCCACGGCAGCTTGCAGTTTTTTAACCTACAACGTAAAAGGTTGGAATTGGAACTCTTTGACCCATGCAGTCTCCATCCACTTTACCAGATGTATCTTACACTGGAGCGGCTTCCTAAAATTGGACATCCTCTCTCTGCAGCTCCCCAACTTTTGGAGTTCCCACTGCAGTGGCAGGCATGACAATATTTTTATGTTACTCCATCTCATAGTACGTTTTTTGTGCCTGTGCTTCAAGTGGTGAGGCAAAACTGTAGCTTTCCTGTTCTATTGCAGTTCAGCTCTGGCAGATTTCACATATTCCTCTCTTAGCTGTACTTGAGAGAAAAAAAAAAAGAAAGGGAAAAAAAAAGATAATTTCAGCAAAGGTCAATAGCTGGACAGTTACCTCTTTTAGCTGAGTTGTCTGTGACACTGTACTGACCAAATGGAGAAAAGAGCTGTAGAATAAAGGCAATTCCCTCAGATTGCTCGTCCTTCTTGAGACTCCTGTACCAAGACTCTGGCGAGTTTTTTACTGGGCAGGAAAGTCTGCAATGATCAGAAGGAAAAGAGAGATGCTTGTGTGAACCCAAGATGTCAGCATTGCTGTCTCACAATTAATTGGTCCTTAATTAATTCTTTGTGGTAGTGCTGTTCTTAAATTTAAAAATACCTAAAGCACAGAAGTGAAGACAAAGTGCCTGCTCAGTGGAAGTTGAGCATTTCTGAAGTAAAAACTAACGTGGGGACTTTTTAAGGGTCAGTTCAAGACACCTATTCTCCCCTCCTTGCTTTTGGTGGATGAAGAGGAAAGTCTGTTCTGGTTCCTTGGGTGACATGGAGGACAAACTCTTTGTATCCCTAATAAATGAAGCGCAGAGGGTCACATCACTGCCAGTAGCAATAAAAATGTAGTGTATGTACTCAACAAGCCCCATCATGAATGGTAACAAAAACTGATGAATGTGAATGAATCAGTCTGGATGACTCTTTGTCATACCTGGCAGCACTGAAGCATTGCTCCTCCTGCACAGCCAGAGCTCACAAACTTTCTGCTGTGTTATGTTCTCTTTGCTCCAGTTCCATGATCCAATCTGTGGTCCAGGCACTCATCAGGGCCAAACCAGTTGTGGATAAAAGTTTCAGGGTGGCTGTGGCTTTTTCTTGGGGTCTGTGAGAGCATGAGTGATCATTCTGGCTTTGAAAGGTACAGTTAGATGGCGTGTGCCTTAGGATATGAAGTCATGTCTGGAGTTGAAGGATATTAGTAGTTTTTCTCCATAGTAGTGGGTGCCCATACAAACAGGAGTTGGCCAGCAGTTAAATCCGTGTAAACTGCAATTCGCTGCTCCTGTGCCTCATTTTGTTATAGTTCTAGTCATGTATTTTGGAGTCAAGCACTATACCCTTAGTCAACAGTATTTTCTCTCAAAATCCATAGCCTCTCAAACTCTACCAGCCTTTAAAATGAGAGCTATTGGCAAAATAGCCTCTGTGTAGAGATGCAGTACCACAAAAGGAGCATCAAATGGTCCTGTCATCATGTATATTGAGAGGCTTTTAGTCTGTACTTAAGACTTAAGCAATGAACTTGTCTTTCTTCCTATCATCTTGTGTGCAGGTCTCTTCTGCAGTTGAGGAAGAGTGGTTTATAAAAGGCTGATAGTGGCCCTGAGAGGAAAATGAAAGCTGCTGCACTGGAAATCTGCTTAAAAAATATGACACCAACACTACCACTCCCCAAAAAAACCTTACTCAAAATGAAAGTTGTTCAAAAGTCCTCAATCTCTGTTCTGGATCATAAAACCTAGCAATCAGTTCCTAAGAGTCAGTATCCTGCCTGGCAGAGTAAAGGCAAGGCCACAACAAAGTTAGAATTCTGACAAAACAAGCTAATTAAGCCTAATGGAATAATCTGTCCATCTACCTCAGGTTGATTGTTTTATATTTGCAATATGCTGAGATTCAGGAGGCTTTTTTTTTTTTTTTTAAATTAATCACTTAAGCATGATAATGCACTTTATGCTTTTTGCCTGTTAAACTGTCCTCCTGGGTAAACCTTTCTCCCACCCTACTCTCTTTGCATGTAGCTATCCAAAAGCTAGCCAGTTCCACACAGCAGCAACAGTTGAA